AGATTCCAAAAATAATATTATATACAGAGTGTTCCATTTGAAAAATCAAAGTTGCTACTGCTTTCTAATAAAAGCGGCAACACCGCATTGTCGAAAATATTTTAGTTGGCTAGAGAATGTCCGAATATGCCCTCCATTAAATTTTCAAAGTGATCCGTTGTCTAGTTCACCAGAAACGTCTAATGTGCCATCCACCGTGAATCAGCCTGTATTATACCGCTTTGTGTTTTCCTTTATTGGTCATAAATTCAACGTTTGAACTCCCCTTTTTCTAAGAATAACTAATTATAGATAATACCACAAAAGAGTGGGTATGGTCCTAGAGCCGTACCTTGTGGGACTCCACATTGATTTGTATGTGGTCATCCGTTCTGGTACCTTGTTTCGAGTTCACTTATGAATTGATATAATTGAATTCTAATCCCAAACGCAGACGACATCTAATGGACGGACCGAAAACTAAACATCAATATCAAAGATAAGTTTTCTATCATTCCAATAGATGGCGTATTCGTAAGGAGAGTCATCATCACCACTACCGGCATCCCACCGGTTTGTAGGAACTTGAAACTATTTTTTTACTTTCCGTAGTTCCTCGAACGAATAAACATTTTACTTCAGAATATTTGCTTGTATCTCGTTTCAAGAATTAGTCAAGCATACCACAAAAATAACTAACGTTTACACAACAGATATTTGCTCATATATGAAACAATAGATTCTACGTACACCTTTATTTTTAATTTTTAATGGGCTGACGACGAATTCACATAAAATTTTCACGATGTGCGTCAAACCTAACAGACGTCACAATTTACAGTGAAAACGTTATTGACGACATTCCATGTAGGTGGGAATGCGTTTTCAGGCGAAGAAAATCAACGGTATAAGCAGTGTTGCCAATGAAGTGCAAGCTACGCAAAATCTGCACATTTTTACTATCGCACCGCGTTCGTTGAGCTTTTTAGTTTTTACGGATATTCTTCTTATGCCCTGCCACTCTGACACGACCTAAATTTCACCTCAGAGTGCCGCAGGTCCACTACCGTTCAATATAGAATATAGAACGGTGCAAATAGATTAACCGAACCACCTCTTTTGCCCTTTTACGTTCTGTGTACCAGGCTACATATTTTTTCGAAAAAATTGCCCTTCTATGGCTTCGTAGTTGAGTGACGAAAGACAGGAAAGAATAAACGAATGATTTGGTGTTTTCGGGTTCATTAGCTGTAGCCTGCAGAATTTATGTTTCATCTGCAACTGCGGAACACAGGTGCAGATTTTTTTTAAAGTTATATGGTGGTGGTTTATTTGGGCTTTGTTTTCGCATTTACTAGTAGAAAGGAGTAGGCATAATCTCATGCTTTGCCACCGCACCTCTCTGTATATTTTGCTTGCCTTTGAAATATGCGAGACTCCGTCCACAATCCGGCCTTTAACCGTCGTAAACACCCTTCAGCCACTGACCTCAAGTGTGAATAATAAATAAATAATTCACTAAGACACTTTACAACACATTTGAAACGCTTTCCGGAAAATTGCACGGGCATTCAAGGCTTCCAACAATAAGTTTCCGCAAACCTTGGCAACGACACACTAGTCAGCCGCCTTTTTACCGGAAATTCTCATTTGATTTCAATTGAGGTTATGATTATGATTCAGGTCACAGGACTATAACTTCGAGTTATAGTTCTGAATCTGGGCATACATCTCAATCACAGAACTATAAATCTAAGTTATACTTCTGTGATTCATTATGCCCATTTTTCTTCTTCTTTGTTTTGGTTCTGCTCTATGAGCAATCTTCCAGTATTCGCCTTGCGGCGTAAACATCGATGTGTGATTGTAAACCTATTTTTATACTCCCAGCAAAAATATTCATAACTGATTAGTTTGAAATAGATGAGTATAAAAAAATTGTGTGGATGTTCAAAGGGTAGGTTAAAAAACAGATAGCACAACGAAACAACGGCGGAGCATTGCAAACACCCGAAATGTTGTCTCAGATTAGTTGCACCCAGCTGTAGGAAAGTAGGAATCTGCAAAAGTAGATTTAATACAACAGATCAAGTTTGTTATGGATTGTGAATTTCATTGGAAGTATTATTATTTTGGTTTCAAATAATTTATGTTTCGCCCAAAACAACTTTACTGGGTTGGCAACACTGCGTATTAGTCATATCAGTTTCCGGAATGGCTGTTCCACTATTTATAAATCCAAATACTGCTGAATAGTTGGAGAGAACGGATAAAACGGATAACGGTGCTGTTTGTTTCGTCTAGAAACTTTGATGGATGGCAGCGAAGACAAACGTGTTCTAGAAAGAGAAAACAGTAAAATCGATATTCCTCTTGCTGAATGAACCTACCAAATACAGGGACGAATCGATGAAAATGAAACGAAACTCATTTCTCGGATCCGTTATTTTTCATTTCAAGAGGAACATATTTCAAGAATATTCATTTTTTCCCAAAAGTTCATAATTGTAATATCTGTCATCCATCTAAATGAAACACCTTCAAGGTTCATTCAATAACTATATTTTCCAATTTTAAAATACCAAATCACAGAGCCCTGTCCAAGGACGTCACAGATAACTTTTTATACAGTATTATAGTCCAGGCACATTCCTACTGACATTACAATAATTATTTAGCAGTTCGAGAAAAAACGTTATCAGATAATGACAAGTCAGCACAACTTTCAATAAAAAATTTTGAAATGCAATTTTTGTATGAAGGGTCATTCTTCCTAAACATATCTATAAAGGTTCCCTTCTCAAGGGAAAAGTGATTTCGAATTATCAAATCTATTGATTTGAGCACGAGTTGTCGTGTGATTCTGATCTCATTATGTATATTGGCCAAACGGGGAGATTCTTCTCCACAAGAATAAAAGAACATATAAGTAGTTTTTTGAATGAGACGACCAATTCAACATTTGCAAACCCTTCAGCAGAGAAACAAATTAAATAATCCCTCTTCTTCAAATTCGTTTCGTAAAGATGAAATTGGTAATAGAGGAAGATGAAGTCGTTCTCAGAAATTTTAAAAGTATATTAGTTAGGCACTAAAAATCATTATGATTCAAATTACTATAACATGAGAAGCATGATGTATAATATGCCTCCATTGCACAATATTGTCATTAAAAAAATATATCAAATTTTTCCAAAAGTTAACCAGCTATGATTTGTGAAAGAAAATAGTGGTAAGGTAAATGAGATGATAATTCGAGAATCTAAAACAGAGTATGTATTCAATGGTGACGATTTTTATTAGCTTTTCTAGATGAACAAATTGTTTTTGATAGAATAATTGAAGTGTCCTTATTTTTCAAAGAACTCGTTGAGCAAACTCTGAAGAGCGTTTATTACATATAGACCAATTCAATTTGAATGAACCAAGTAACGAAACAGAATGTATGAAAATATTGGCGTGTTTAACGTTACTTTGAAACTCCATAAATGGTTTGTTAAAACGAACAGCATCAATATATGTATGAGTAGAAAATTTTCTATCGATCAGTATAAAACACGACATAGTAGAATATTTATTGAGATATGGAACCACAAAAAACCATGACATTGAAACGGACAAATCTTTTGAAACAGCCAAACAGATAAACTAACATGAAAACTTGATTAAATCTATGAATTCATAAAAAAATCCTTTTTATTTTACGAAAATGTCGTTTACTGTTCTTAGGTAAATATCTTTTTGATTTGAAATAAACTCGAAATTGATTATCAACAAAGTAAATCCCCCCATTACAAACCTTCCAAAGTACCTTTATTTATATTTCTCGTTAAACAACAACAGAGATAAACACATTTAACACCGGTTTTTCCACGATTCTATTTTAATGGCCCAAACTGCGAAGTAGTGCTTGAATCGTTGAATTTTTCTAACACAATAGCACAATAATTACAGGTTTTTATCTATTGTTTAATAAATATCAACATGAAAATTTGGGACGTAGGTAAGGTACTTATTATTCAACGTATTGGAAAATTTTAGCAGAAAATGTGTGTGGAAATTTCAAAATAAAATATTTTTTTTTGTTTTTTTTGATTATTCACATAGATTTTATTAATTTTTAAGCGTAACCACCTTACTTGTAAGGTTGTTACGCCCAGAATGGTTGAAATTATTTATCACTAAGTA